AAGGCATCTGGGGGAAAAAGAGGTCCACCATATTACAGAGTAATTGATTTAATGAGAATATTTGGTTTGATGTATTCATAGCTAAATGAGCAATTTCTACTACTAAAATTTGATACAAAATCAGACAATAATTAGAAACTAGTTGAATATCCACAGTATATAAGCTAACAAACTTGTTTTACATTCAGAACCCAGTATTATTCTGCCGTGCTGTTTTTTTTTATGTTATTTATTATATTAAAATCATGTGTTCTACAACAAAGTTGTTATGTGAAGTATTAGGTTCGGAACATTTCTTAGCAGTAATTTAAGCTAGAATACAGTTTTGGTGGAATCTATCTTGAGAATTTTAAAATAAGATTTATGTGGCGCCAGTGAGTCTGACTGGGATGATGCTGAGTGGTCCATCAGCTAAAATGTTGCAGGCGGGCAGTTTAAATAGAAGTGTATTGAGACAGAGTGTGATTACCCCCCTCCAGCTGTCAGTGATGGTGGCCAACGCCCCTTCAGCATGTTGGGGTGGTTCTCCCATTAACATCACAATCATTAGGGAAATTACAGCCATGTCCTTTCTTACCTGGCTTGACCAGGCCATTAGGGGGTCTGACAGGAAGCATAGGGTCAGTGGATAGGAAATTAATGGTCATTGTCACTGCAGGCATGTTGATGTTGGCTTTAATCATGTCCGTCTCTTCAGGTTAAATATCAGTATGAACTCCTATGAGTAATGCACTGCTTGGTATCATACCATCTACCTTCCTGGCCCCAGTCTCTAGAATATTTAAATTGTTAAAAATGAGTTTCATAATTCTAATCTCTTAAATCTATTTTATTCTAGAATTCACAGAAAGGAGAGATATGTGATCATTTCTTAGCCTAACTTAAGGGTATTTAGGATTAGATTTACACTTTCTATCAAATCATATTTCAGTTGTCAGATATTGTAGAAGGGTCAATGCAGAGAAAGGAACAGAAAACACTCTTTAGATTGTGTATTATTCATATGATTTCATTTTGTGTTGTCCATGCACCTGTAATGTTATTTCCAACTGTATGTCTGTTTGAGGGATTTATTACTGTTTGCTTATAAACAAACCCAACGGCTATCATTTTGATATGAAGGAACTTGTAGTTCAGAGAATAGTCAGGTCCTTTGATTAACAATGATTCCAGGTATTGTCATGCTGCTTTATATCATTATCCAGTTAATATAACATCATATAATAGCATTCATGTTTGTAGGTTTGTATACAGTTTAGACACAATGGTCCATATGCAAACAATGAGATAGTAAAAGACCAATCCCACATCAGCTGTTACATTAGTGTTCTCTCTGACCTAGCCGTCTATATATGGTAAAAGTAGAGTAAAACATGACAATATGTATAAAATATAACCCTGACTTAATATCTGTACCAACCGATGTATGTTAAAAGTGCAGTTCTTTGACTGATAAAGACTACACTTAGTATTAAGTTCATATGGTGCCTCTGAACTATAAAAACTCCACTCAATTATTGATATAAAGTCTGGTGGATCAGATATATTTTAGAATGCTTGGAGACTATGATTGTAGGGGTTACAGGATCAAATCATTGATTATAAGGGCTAAGAGGTCAAGACTTGGAGAAAAGGGGCTGAGGAGTTATAACTCGGATACTATCAGGTTTGAGGGGTCAACACTATGATAGTATAGAGATTGATGGGTCAAGATTCACAGACAATAGGGGTGAGAGGTCAACATTTGGATACTGTAGAGATTGATGGGTCAACTCTCAGACAAAAGGGGTGAGAGGTCAACATCTGGATATTGTAGAGATTGATAGGTCAAACTCACAGACAACAGGGATGAGAGGTCAACATCTGGATACTGTAGAGATTGATGGGTCAAGATTCACAGACAATAGGGGTGAGAGGTCAACATCTGGATATTGTAGAGATTGATTGGTCAAGACTCACAGACAACAGGAGTTAGAGGTCAACATCTGGATACTGTAGAGATTGATGGGTCAAGATTCAGAGACAATAGGAGTGAGAGGTCAACATCTGGATACTGTAGAGATTGATTGGTCAAGATTCACAAACAATAGGGGTGAGAGGTCAACATTATGATACTGTAGAGATTGATGGGTCAAAATTTGCACACAAAAGGAAGTGAGAGGTTACTTTAGGGGTGAAGATCAGGAACCTTAGTTTCATATCTAAACACACATTCTTATACTTGTCTAACAGGTGTTTGCGTAGACAATCACACAGGTATGATGTTCATCACTAAGTTATTACACTTTTGTTTTTGATCAGTATTTATATGTAGAGTAAGTGTAGTATAGACATGTATAGATGAGTTAGAAATTTAGACAGATTTGTAGTAAGGTTGAGTCAGGAGTAATCCTAATCTATTAAGCAGGTGTGTATTATACCTGATTGTTTTCACTTCACAGTCCATTACTTGTGTTGATAAAGCGATTGGGACTTGTACAGGTATATCGTGAGAGTAAACTCTACTAGAGTGCTGCTCCACACCCAGAGTATGTCAACATTGAACATGTCAACACTACCACTGGGTCGTCACAAACGGATTAGTTACCTTCTGCTATCACCCCAGTCCAGCTCTAATCATGTGAAAATATTCATATATTCATGAAAAAAAATTGTTTTGCTGATCGATAAATTTCTTTGATTGATGGGTGGAATTGAGGATTTGTAGTGATGCTAAGACGTAGGCACAAAAATGTTGCCCTCCCCACGGTCAGGGTTTGTGTCCTGAGGGAGTCAATCCACTCCACACCAACTCAGGCCCGCAAACTCTACATCATGGTCAGAGGTAAGTCTTTGTATTCATTACATGTAAATGGTCAAGGGTCCGTGGGTAATAGTTAACAATAAGTTTTGGACATCAGTTAAGATAAAGTTTTGGACAAAGGTCAGTGATATTAAGCAGGGTTATAGGATTTTAATCTTGAAAAGATAAGATCTGGACCATATTACTGTAGGAGTATAATTGGTCAGTCCAGGACATCGGTCAAGGAAACTAGCATGCATGGCCAGTGTCACTTAAACTTGTTGTTTGTTGATTTGTCCCTGTTGACTCTCTGGTCCTATTGCTATGATGCGTGATATCCAGCATTTATTCTGGGGGTAACTTAGGTTTATAGTAGATATACAATATCTGTGTTTACACATTCACACGTCTGTATGTGCTCTTTACACGCATGTGTTGTACAAGGTATATGGAAATGTAAAATTACATACTTAACTTCTAGTATGTATGTATTATGATGTACAATAAACCTTTTATTAACATTTCACACCTGTCTGAAGTAGATTGTTTACCTGTGTCCCCCAATTTCTAATCTCCAAGCCAATGCGGAAGGTTAAATCCTTTTACTGAGGTAAATGAGAACAATAGCTCTTACTTGTTGCCCGGAGGGAAAACTCTCCTTACATAAAATTGTTGAGCCCCTCCCTTTATTTGGTTGGTTACCTGGGGTTGACATACACAACATTGGAGTACAGGTGTGTGTTTACACCCCCTCCCCTTACTTGGGTAGTCAGGTGTAGCCATATTTGATTGATACTTGGATTAGATCTATATCACAACATTGTCCATTGCACACCTTGTTTGGTTGAACATTCAAAGTTTAAATTTCTGTGCTGACATGACGTGTTGACATTATAGAAGGCCTTCCTGAGATATAAAAAACCAGTGTTTATAAGGACACAATGTACTGTTTTATTGAAACCGATCACCTAATATGAAGGACGACACTTATGGGGAAAAGTGTTATGGTGGAAACAGATGATGTTACGTAGTATTTGGCAGATTTAAACTAAATGTTCAAAAGACCAAAACCAAAGGAGGTTGGGGTGTTTCTGTTTTTGTGAGGATACACCAAACAGAAAAAGGAAACAACTTATACAAGGAATTGTGATATCTTTGGAATCTGTTCGATTTGTTTCCAAGTGGATTTCAGGGTTATAGTGGCTGGATACTGGATTCAATTTTTAGTATTTTGTGGAAAAGCCTTGGGGTTCTTAGGCTTTTAAATTTTGTGAATCTCTCAAGTAACAATTGAGTCATCTATAGATTTTGACACCAAACGATTTTGAAAGATTCCCATTTCAAACATTTGTCAAACAACTTTGTACGGAATGATCATGTGGATTGTTTGTGATATTTGATGTGTATGAAGTGAACACATACAAATTGAATGCATACAAGGATGGCTGGTCTGTCCCTATACCTCACTCTCTTACCTGTAATTGATTGGTTCACAGTGGACCACTGGTATAATTCCGGTAACAACAACTGCTACTTCATTAAAGGTATGAAACTAGTGTGTCAGTGAAACTGATAAATACTTCCTGAAAACGACTTTATTACACAAAATTTAATCAAAGGGCAATAATTCTGTAATTAAGAATTTGCAGGACCTGAATTTGGTATAGTGCACATTCTCTTAGTATGACCAATGTACACACCATGTTTCAATAACTCCTAAATTATGCAAAAGAGAGTTATGGTTCTTGTACACTGCACTTCTCCTTATCGAGATCTATCTACTGATGAAGTTTCATGTTGATACTTCTTGTATGTTTTGTGATATGCTCTGGATTTCCAGCCACATAGTGTAGCCCATGCTGACCTGTCCATTTTGTAGTTATATTTTTGTGATCCAGAAAAAACATCTTATCCTCTGGAGGCGCTGTCTTAGTTGTCAACATCAGTCCACAGATCCTTAACCAATCTTCAGGCTAGGGGTTGATGGTCTGAAAACTTTGGAGATATGATTATATTAAGCCGAAAGTCTCCTGATGTGAAAAACTATGAACTTAGTTCATTATGCAGGTCACCTTTTTTATCCTTTCTGTGATTTTATTTCCTAAATGTCACAGCTGAGTGTGAGATAGATATAGATATAATAATTTTTCTTAACACAGTTCCTCATCTTACCTGAGTAACATTTGACCTGAAGTATACCTGTTTTTCCTCATTACAGACCAGAACCGCAACAAAACCAGTAAGACCAAGGCCCACCAGAAATCTTCACCAAGCCAGCCAGACCCTGTCCAAACCAAGCAGGAGATTTCCCGCCTCGAGGCTCTCTGTGAGGCACGTACCAAAGAACTCAACTTTGCCAAGCTACAAATGAAGTCCAATCTACAAGCTTTTGATGCCATGGCTACTCTTGTCAACTACCTTAGTCATGATGTAAGTGTTGGATTAACTCTAAGGGCTACAGAGGGGGAGGGTGGCAATGGCCGTGATGTAAGTGTCGGGTTAACTCAAAGGGCTATGGAGGGGGAGGGTGGCAATGGCCATGATGTAAGTGTCGGGGTAACACAAGGGCCTACAGAGGGGAGGGTGGCAATACCTTGGCCATGATGTAAGTGTCGGGGTAACACAAGGGCCTACAGAGGGGAGGGTGGCAATACCTTGGCCATGGATGCCATGAAGTGTCGGGGTAAGGGCCTAAAGGGCTACAGAGGGGAGCTACAGAGGGGAGGGTGGCAACGTGATGTAAGTGTCGGGTTAACTCAAAGGGCTACAGAGGGGGAGCAACCTTGGGTGGCAATACAGAGGGGGAGGGCGGCAATGGCCGTGATGTAAGTGTCGGGGTAACACAAGAAGCTACAGAGGGGCGGGTGGCAATACCTTGGCCATGATGTAACTGTCAGGGTAACACAAGGGGCTACAGAGGGAAGGGTGGGCAATACCTTGGTGGTGATGTAAGTGTCGGGTTAACCTTGGCCATGATGTAAGTGTCGGGGTAATTTAAAGGGCTACAGAGGGGAGGGTGGCAATACCTTGGCCATGATGTAAGTGTCGGGGTAATTCAAAGGGCTACAGAGGGGAGGGTGACAATATCTTGGCCATGATGTAAGTGTTGGAGTAACACAAGGGGCTACAGAGGGAAGGGTGGCAATACCTTGGCTGTGATGTAAGTGTCGGGGTAACTCAAGGGGCTACAGAGGGGAGGGTGGCAATACCTTGGCCGTGATGTAAGTGTCGGGGTAACACAAGGGGCTACAGAGGGGAGGGTGGCAATACCTTGGCTGTGATGTAAGTGTCGGAGTAACACAAGGGGCTACAGAGGGGAGGGTGGCAATACCTTGGCTGTGATGTAAGTGTCGGAGTAACACAAGGGCTACAGAGGGGGAGGGCGGCAATGGCCGTGATGTAAGTGTCGGAGTAACACAAGGGGCTACAGAGGGGGAGGGCGGCAATGGCCGTGATGTAAGTGTCGGGTTAATTCAAAGGGCTACAGAGGGGAGGGTGGCAATATCTTGGCCGTGATGTAAGTGTCAGGTTAATTCAAAGGGCTACAGAGGGGAGGGTGGCAATATCTTGGCCGTGATGTAAGTGTCAGGGTAACACAAGGGGCTACAGAGGGAAGGGTGGCAATACCTTGGCCACGATGTAAGTGTCAGGGTAACACAAGGGGCTACAGAGGGAAGGGTGGCAATACCTTGGATGTGATGTAAGTGTCGGAGTAACACAAGGGGCTACAGAGGGGAGGATGGCAATGGCCATGATGTAAACATAATTGGCATCATGGTGGAGAAAGAGGGGGGCAATTTATGGGGAGGGTTATTGATGGGATAAGTATTGCAGAGGGGAACAATGAGATGGCATAATAGTTGGTGCTTCAAAATGAAAGTAATCATTCAAGATCGAGTAATTAAATGAGGATGAAAAATTTGCTTCAGTTATTTGGAAAAAATGTTTAAGATGTTAACATTTAGGATGTAAGCAAGATCAGCTGTTCTGGCAAGACAAATGATCACTCCTTCACAGAAAAAAGTGGTTTTTTGTATTTTCATGTTTCATTAGATATTCAGCTGCACCAGTCAAATCTCAAGGGGATGTTAAGCTTTTCCAAAATACATCTACCAGTAGTTGTTATTGGAACTGGAATACTACTACAAAGTGCCGACCTGGGGAAGGGATATTATCTCTACATTTGAGGAATCTTTTCTGTATGCTAGTGTCACACTGCATTAGGTACAAAATATACCCACAATATATTGTCTGAATAGTAGAAAACACTGATTTAATGGATTTGTCAACCAGTGAACAGCCATGGTCAATTTGAGACTGGGTCTCCTTGTAGTAGCTGGTGGCTACATCATTGAACATCATATGGGAGGTCCATCATATGCTGTTCAGAGCAATTAGAGTGAAGTTTCTAGCCCAAGATCTTCACCTTAGGTTACATAGGCCAGTACATGAGTAACTGAGGTATCACAGTCCCCTAATGTTGTGTGGAAAATTTACATACTGAGTGTATAAACCAGTATTGGTTATCAATAGATGACAGGTTTTCAGATGTACAATTGATCTATGATGCTGTTAACTAGTGTTTGGAATTGATTTGCAAATAAAAATTAATATTCAATTCAGAGAAGTTTACTAGTTATCTTCAGATGGTGGGCTAATCAAATTGCCCTGTCTGTAGTCTGTCCATTTTCTGTTTGTCCTTAAACAATTTTCATTATCACTATTTTCTGAAAATTACTGGATGGATTGTTCTAAATTCCATACGTAAGGTTTTCTTGGTTCCTAGTTGTGTCAATTTGATTTTGGGACTAATCAGAGAAACAAAATAACTGACCAGTAGCCAGCCATGTCAGGTTTTGACCGTGAATGTTTGTTATCGCTATTTCTTGAAAAGTACAGGATGGATACTTATGCAAGTTCCCTTTCGTCCTCTGTTATGTCTGTTTGATTTTAAGACTGATTAGTAATGGCTGTCAGGTGACCATTTTGAATTTGACTGGTAAAGATTATTATTGCAAAAGGAATATAAAATTTCAGGTAATTGAGAACAAAAATAGAGGATAGAAGAAAAAAGAAAGGAAAAGATCCATTTTCAAAGAACAGTTTAAGATCAAACAATGGTTTGTGCCGAGATCCCAATTGGATCTCTGGTTTTGCAGACTGCCATTTTTTCATTATCTGGTTATCAAGGAAGCTTCGACCAGTTTAAGATGGAGCTAACTGTTGCCATTATCTGTACAATAAGGAGAACTTCTTTGTAGTATGCATATCAGAGTTATCTCCCTTCGTGAATATATATCCTGGACAAATTCTTTATATAAATTGCATGAATGAAACTTTATAATATTGATCGTGTTCAAAACAAGAAAATGTTGTATATTTGAATACTTTCAGTAAAATACAGCTACAGAACTAAACTTTTTAGGTTTTATTTATTATACTAAGTGACAGATCCAAACTAGCCCTCTTATCAAAGCATTTTATTGTCAGTTAGAATTCCAAAATTTCCTAGTCCAAAATTATTAAGCAGTTGAATAAAAGAAGAAATGTCTAAGGAAACAAAATGAATCTTGTGATTTGCAGTATGACATAAGATTGAACATTAAATTTCAAACTGTTAAAACCAGTCCACACATATGAACGGTTCCAAGTTGAAAATGTAGGCAATCTTTCACTATCGGCCTGAAGTAGCACATTTTGTCTGTCAGTCTGTATGAGGAGTTGTATACATCATATGTTCTTGATTTCTGGTTTCTGATTTTATTATGCGTACACTACCTGTTCATGTAGAGTGTTGTGAGAGGGATAATCATTTAGGTCATAACCACCACCTACAGTAGACTGATACTGACTAAACTCAGCATCTCACTGCAACATAGACCTGCACTGCAAGACTCTATTTATCATTACACATAATCAATTGTGTCATAAAACGGAAGTTTTCATGCCATGAACTGGTAACAATTTAATTTTCTGACAAAATGCCATTATTTTGTAGCTGGATGCCTTTTCTTGCCCTTCATTGTCAGAGAAACTAAAGAAGCTTCAGTCAGAGATGTTGGAGTCACAGTCGCAGCTAGGTGAGTAAATCAGATTTTTCACATAAAAAAGTCCTATTGTTTTGTACTGAACATTAATTACAAGCATGTGTCAAGTATTTTACTCAGCTGACATTTGTCAATAGAACTTATCAAAAAGTCAATTTTAAGTCAGGGTAGGTGATTTTTCAAAAGTCAATTACACCAGGTGTAAGTCCTGAACAACTACAAACGCTGCATAGTTGCCCCTAGGTCAGGCCATTGTTATGTCTCAGCATTATGATATCAGCTGACAAGTAGTATGTCTCTAAAATGGCTTTTTATTTTACTTTTTCCGAAACTTTGGTGGGCAGTTAACATCAACTCTATAACGTACAATAAACATCCTCATATTAAAATCAGTTCTTAATTTCAGCTGTTTCTACTGAAGTTAATGCTTTATTTGTGTTGTGTTACAGCCGAGCTACAACAACGTAAGGCAAAGCTGGAGTCGGAGCTTGCTGACACACGACAGGAACATAGAGAAACAACAACCACCATGGAGGAGGATCATAAACTGTTATTGACCAGTCAGAGAGAAAAACTCCAACATGAGCAGGACAAGGCCGTTCAAAAAAGTGAGTCAATTATATTATCAGAACAGTAAGGGAGATAACTTTTCCACTTACTTAGGAAACAAAAGAACTATTTCCAGATAGTGAAAATTTGACAACCAGGGGCCAAATCAAAAGTGTAAGAGGAGGTTACTCCTTAATAACAGGTTCTTCGAGACAGTAATTGAAAATGACATTGGGAATCCAGGGGCCAAACCTGAACTAATTGAGGAAACTGTAGTGCTCCGTCCAATTAATGATGACTTTCAAAATCTTGGGGACAAATTTAAAGAGAAAAGGGGAATAACTCATTTTAATGAAGGAAATCTAGAAACTAATCAGGCTTACTCTCAGAGAAGTACAGACAATTAACGTTCTAAGTAAATATGGTTTAAAGAAGTAAGGAATCTAGGGTACATATCTACACAGAAAGAGAAAATAATTCTCTAATTGTGTCAAAGGATCAAAACGACAGGGAATCAAGGAACTTCAAAACAGTGAATGGACATCATAGTGAATTAATTATAGTCAGCCGAAAGTAGTATGGTAACCTCAAAACAGTGAATGGACATAATAGTGAATTAATTATAGTCAGCGGAAACTAGTATGGTAACCTCAAAACAGTGAATGGACACATATATCGTCAGCCAAAACCATTAATGTGAAGTAATTCTCTCATTAAGGATGCAGTTTAAGCAGGTAGAGCAGGTAACTCTTCGTGTAAGGTGGCCATGAAAAAATGGAGGAGAGAAATCTCTCTAAATTTATTGTCTCCTTGAAATAGTAGAGGTTTTTAGTAAGATGATGTCTCACAGAAGCTGAGCTTACAATGTCTTAAGGATTTTCCTACACATTTCCACTCATTTCTGTATAAGTTTGAATTCTACTTTTACACAAAACATTGAAAGACTGTTCAGTAAAGCCGTAACATTAAAAAAAAAAGGATAAGTTTTAGTAAAGAGATAAAACAAACCTTTTTTAACCAGAAATGTTGAGTTATTGAAGATAAAGGAAAAAGGATAATTCCACTTCTTTAAAATTGGTTGGATCATTGGTTTCTTAATTTCATTAAAAATTTGAGATTTACTCAGATAAATACTTACTTTTATCATTTATGAACAGAATGATACTCTGACTTCTTGTGCCTTATGACAGACTGGGTTGTTCTTTGGTAATGCAGTGCTAACACATAAAATAGCCTGAACCTAAGAGACCAGAGTTCAATTCCTTACCCATCACCTGGGAGACCAGAGTTCAGTTCCTCACATTTCACCTGGGAAACCAGGGTTTAATTCCTCACCTATCACCTGGGAGACCTGGGTTCAATTCCTCACATTTCACCTGGGAGACCAGGGTTCAATTCGTCATCCTTCACATAGTAGACCACAGTTCAATTCCTCACCCTTTACTTGGGAGACAAGGGTTCATTTCCTCACCTTTCACCTGGGAGACCAGGGTTCAATTCCTCACCTTTCACCTGGGAGACCAGGGTTCAATTCCTCACCTTTCACCTGGGAGACCAGGGTTCATTTTCTCACCCTTCACTTAGGAAACTGCAGTTCAATTCCTCATCATTCATATAATAGATGACAGTACAGTTCCTCACCCTTCACCTTTTAGACCCCAGTTCATTTCCTTAATTGGATGCCACCTGCCTGACCATAAAGATTTTCTCTTGGTCCTCTAGTTTCCTCCCCCAGTAAGATAGCTGGCTTGCTACAATCTTGACCAACAAGAGTGATCAATAAAGATTGTTTTGCAGTTTCCTTTTAAAGTTTTTAAGTCTTATTATATCAACCTATTCCAATTAGGAATTAAACTAATGAAATTTAATTTAAGAACTCTGGCCTGTTATTTGTGTTATAATGACAAAACGCTGTTGTGATCATGAATCTAACCTACATTAAAAAAAGAAGCAGAAAAATATAATTAGGTTTGGCTGTACCAGTGCGTTTTACATTTTGCAGGAGCATAATCAGACCAGGATGACAACCTCAAACTAATTATCTATCTGGGTGGGATATAGCATATATGAACTTTACATAATTCTGATTTCAATTAAGTTGACTGTTGATGTTCCGTGTGTTAAAGTCCTGGCATACAGGAAGTGCACATGCTTAGTGTGTGTTCCAAATCAATGGCTCATGTTTGTGTTTATGGAAAACACAAATCAGTATTATATTCGACTTCAGTGTTCTCATTATTTCTAACAAGGGATCCTTCAGGAAAGACAAATTTACTTCAGATTTCAGACAGCAAATATTGGTTGTTGTGTGAAGAACACAAACATTGTCTGGTAGAAGAGAAGTTTCTTTGAAGAATGATGGGCATGTGTTTGACAGGATCTCGGTGTAGTTCTACAGTAACTATTCCTGAAACAGTGTTCTTTGATATGGCCCAGTCTGGTCTAATAATAAACAGCAAATGTAGAGAGAAACATATCCCTTACTCCTGCTAATATTTCACTTGGCCTTCACAGATCCGGCAAGGATAGGTTATGTAGTGCAGTAATTACATTACATGTGATGGCTTTGTTTTACACTGATGGGCTGTTTGGCAGATACTTCCTGACTTTCTGGTGTCGTATCTATTGAACTGAAGAAGTCAACCACTTTTTCTAGATAAATACTGACTTTGTTCATCCTGCTAATAAACCCATATCTGTTCCTGCTGGAATGTGTCTACCCCTGGGCTTGTCAGATAAATGCAACAGGTTCTTAATGGTTTTACAATTGATTTTGATTTCCTTTCCAAGAGTAATTTTTACCTTCCATGTCTATAAATAAGACAAAAAGATTTAATATATTGTGATTCTATGTTCTTTGTGATCATCATCCTTTCTACTGTAAAATCATATATATTCATGGGGTTCAGTTTTCATGGGTTTTTTTCAAAACCTTTTTTATGGACTTTTGATTTCGAGGATAAAAAAAGTTCAATACTAATAACTCAACAGTTCATAGACATATGAATTCAACGAGGAGCACTCTACACGATCAAAAGATCATTGTTTTTATAATGCTCACATTCTTAAGATCCTCAGTCCTCTTTGATATCAGGTATAGAACATTAAAACATTGGTTCTTCCATTTTCAGAAGTACACTATTTCATTATATAAAAAATATCAAAATTTCAATATCAAACAAGTTGTGAGCTCTATGAAGCTCCAACAATGTACAATGTAAGTGATGGTTGTATGACATTGTTGTACTAGTTAAGGTCCATTATTTAAGTATAGCTTTATATAAAACCACAACTATTCCTTTGGGTGTTAATTATGATTATCATATAGATTATACTGTCTTTAATATTAAATATAAAATGGCCAGATAAGGTTTTAAGGAGCACATGAAATGTCTTACCCAAGTATACAATGACAAGAAAAACATACCGGCAACTTGGAAAATGTACTGCATACTGCTGGTTAAAGGGAGATAACTCATTCATAGTTAAAAGTTGAAGGGAGACAAACATGTTTGTCTTTATAAAATTATCTCATTTTTCCATTTCAGCGGAGGATTATTATTCAGATGAGATCACCAGGTTGAAAGCCTATCAAGAAAAACAGGTAAGTTTAACAGTACAATAAAGATTTTACACAACTTATGAATCATGATAAATGTTTTGTATGATACATATTTTATTTTTCTGTTTCACTCTGCTGAGTTTCCTATTGCTACCATTGATATAATATCAGAGTGCAATTATTAAGACACAACAATTTAATTCAGATTCGTGAGGTGAAGTCAGAGAGCAATGCCAGCATGACTAAGTTACAGAAACAACAGAAAGACGATATCCGCAGTCTACAACATAAACATGAACATCAAATGGAGGGTAAGTCACCATAGCAACACATTATGTTCATTGTCACTTGAGCAGCAACGATTCCTTTATTTCAACTTTCATTGGTAATACTTAGTTCTCATTACCCTTGTTACCAATTTCTTTCTCCTATCAGTTCTTGAATCATCCTTTGAATTCAAAGGGGATAAATTTCAACCATCGTCTTATGTCCCTTATTAAGTCCGTCCAGCTTTTATTTCTGCAAATTTTTCTAAATCTATGGTGTCAGTTCCACTAAACTTTGCCCATTACTTCTGGATGGTTCTTGCTTCAAGTGGCTTTTCAGGTAGGGTATTGAGATTAAAGGTCAAGGTCACTCTAACTATAGATAGAAAACTTGTTGTGGTACAAGATTTTAAGTTTAGTTAGGCTGAATTGTCTAAGACTTCCTTAACTGCACTTATTTACACTGATTGTTTACAGAAAGGGCTTATTTACAGAATTGTTTACAGAAAGTGCTTATTTACAGAATTGTTTACAGAAAGTGCTTGTTAGCAAAAAGTGCATATTCTTGTCATTTGATGGTGTAAAATGGCATTTCCACTTTAAACTTAGAGTGAAAACCTTCATTTTCATTCTCTCTTCTGTCAAATATGGTCCACACTTGCCAATTTTTTTAAACTTTCATGTGGGAGATCATACAAGACCTGATTATAAGAAATCAAGGCTTTCTGTTGAACAGACTGGAATTTTTAGGTCACCTGAGAAAAGTCTCAGGATCACCTATTGCGATTCCCTTTTATCTGGCATCATAAAACTTTAACAATTTAAACTTCTTCAGAAAAACTCTGACCTGATTTCAATGAAATTTTACAAATTGATTGAAACTTCAAAAATCTTTTCTCAAATTCCAGGTTTAATAGAGTCAAGTACTCTTCTTACATTTGCATTATGAATACAATATGGTTAAAGTTATATTACCTTTTTGAACAAAATCATTTCTATGACATGTTACAAGAACCATTGTGACAGTTGATCGTTAAGGCCCTTATTTGAAATTATGATTTGTTGATGATATATTTCTGAAATTTGGGGAAATATTTGAATATAGAGGTTCCTAAATACCAAATAAGGAGGGTTGGCAACTGAGATTTCTCCTACCATTGTTGTCAGTCGAAATTCTTAATAAGCTGAGTTATTTGTCAACAGGATCTATTTTATCAATTCATTGATTTGTTATAAGAGAGATACTGTTAATTCCTTAATTTTCATTGGGGACATCTTTTCGTGGATTTTGTAGGTACTCTTGTTCCTGCACATATTTATATGTTCATGACACTGGAATTTGAAATTAATTCTTTGAATTAGTCGATTTTGTGAGTGCTTTTTGTCCATGAATTTATTCATAGCCACATGAAAATTTTGCAATTCACAATATACCATATCCATTTCACTGTGAGTGGGATTTAAACTTGTTTACGTACTAGGGGTAGAAATATTTTTTGTTTTGGTTACACACAGATTTCAGCTTTAAACCCTCAGCCTGTAAAAGTAAGATATCAGTGTGTACATATAAGATTGAAGTGGATAGCTGTACAAATATTGAAAGGTGTATTCTAGTGTCTTTTATCTGTGCGTAGCCACAGACAGAGAGGAAGTTTTCTAAAGTTTTAGAGATTTTACTATCTTATGTGACAAAACATTGCCATGTTGAATGCCAAATATTTCAGGTGTGGGGTTAAAACTGAGATCTTAGAGAATGGCAGTTTATACGAAATCAATACCATTACTGTGGTCTGCAAATAAAGTCTTTTATGATGGGAAAATATACACCATTTTGTGCTAACCATTAAGATATGTAGACTCCCTAGTTAAATACAGCCAGAAAGTTGGGTATTATAAGCCAGGTAGTACGTAACATTTAGATAAATGTGAATTACCAGACTTTAAGCATCCTTGATGCCACTGTATAAAGTCAGCGAGACATGTTGGATTCTATACAGGTGTGCAGTGTTATGTAATCTGAGTACAGGTACACAATTTCTCTGATAATTGTCCAGTTTGGGAAGCTTTTAGGGCTAGTCTGTGATATATAAAAATGTCAGATGTTTGGGAATTTGCCAAACTTTATTTGATGTATCTGATAAGCTTGCTCTGGAATAACTCCCATGGTACCTGTTAACGAGCTAATTATATAATGCTGACTTTAAGTGTCATTTTGCCACGGTCTTTTATCATCATTGTCAGAGGGTGTGTCATTCTGAAAACCCAACATTATAATGTAGACTGATGCAGCTGATTTCTGAAGATCAATATACCAAACATGGGAGTTTTCTTTACAGTGCTGCACTCCTGTTGTAGTGATACTAAATGGTCTCAAGTGGTCAAACTCATACCTCACAATTTGGCTTGAGTTGGCACAGCCTTGTTGGTCGTTAAGAGCTTCTGCCCGGGCTATTTTTTCGCTTTTGTGCAGGGTTTTTTTTCGCCCTTATATAAAACTTTATCAAATTCATCAAGTGATATATTTGCCACAATATCCATAATAGATATATTTCAGATTTAACATCAAACCTTTGCTTACATTTTCTTACCTTTTTATTTGCCAAAGGCAAACGCAAAAATGGAACTGTTGTGTAGTTATCAGAAGTGTGTGGATGATCTCTGGTGAACAACATTTACATCTCTCCCTCCAGGAGTTTTTATGTATCTGTTGTACCTTCTGATAGTGTTGCCAGATCTCATATTTTTAATGAAACAGAGTTCAAACTGGCTGCATTAAAATCTTAAAAACTTGGTTTTGAGGTTCAGTTTTATGGAAAAACAATTGAAATTTTGATACCAGACATGAATGATGTTTCACCATTAAAGGATGATTTATGAGGAAAGCATATGATTATATGTGGATCTACCCCATCACCAGACTGAATGTACTCCATCACCTCGTCTACTTCTTACATAGAAACGACCGATCAGTTTTTCAACTGCCAACATGTTTTAGAATTTCAATAAGTTTAGACATGAAAAGTAACGCAGGCCTTATGTACCTTTTATCGTATGTATTAAATATGTTCGTTGTAAATTTAGATCCAGATAACATGGTACTGTTTCATGTTGATCTTAATATATGTAAAGCTAGATAATTGTGTGTTTCATGGTTTCTGTCTGATCAGGACCATCATATTTAAACCAATTTGCAGAATACACAGATTTCAGTACTTCTTTGTGAAACTGACGTTTGTATAGATATAGATTTTCCTCTCCAACTGAAATGAACTTCTGATATTTTGGTATGAGTTGTGTTCTAACTACACATTTGTTTAACTTCAATATGGAAATATTTTAATCAATATTTACTTTTCATAATACTACATGTATGTGATTAAATAACAACGAGTCAGTTTATATATGAATACTCATCATTTTTTTTAAAAGCAAAAAAAAAATAAAATGATTGGATTATAAAGGATTCAGTCCCGAGTTCAATTCTAAATATGAGTTTCAGATGGATCAGTGATCTCTTTCCTATACTTACTGATAGTCATACAGCTGTCATCCTGTGTAGTTCAGCATTACTGATCACAGCAGGGATGTGTAGGGACATGTTTCTGATATCTGTAAAATAGGAAAGTAAAGGACTATAGTCATGTATTGATAGATAGCATGATGGCTGCTGAACATGACAATGTCAAACTTAAACACAGGAGTTGTGCATACTTTCGAAGTCTATTAAACACAGGTGGGAAGAACCTGCTGTTCTCAAGTTTGAAATCTTGTTTCTCAAAAGAATTGTTCATTTTAATTTATAGCTGTATAATTTATTTTCCTAAAACAAGCTCAGAGTGTATGAACTCATAGGTCCAATTCAAGGTAGGAAATAATTTATGACTTTTTACATGAGAATAGTATTTAAAAGCATTCCAGACATAGATATGGGCGAGCTTATTACCAGAAATGGTGGATGAATTTGGTAATTAATCACCTGTGGTATTTGAAATAATTATGAATGAAATTTTTTAAATTTTCATTTCTTAATCAACTGAAAGTAGTACCAGTTTCTCTCCAGATTTCTGTCTGCATCGTGTTTATTTTATACAGCTAGGTTGACATGAACCTCAATACTAGTTTCTACATTTCCTTATGCAGATATTTATCTCAGTTATATGTGCACATGGAACTGTTGCTATAGAAGTTAGAACCATTTTAGAGCTATCAGAAGGAGATTGGAGGACAACAATATAACTGATACCATGCTAAATAGTGGTGTATTATTAATTGATGGATATGTGAATCTAGGAAGAGATCAACAGTTTGGGGAATAGACAGGGCTGGAATCAATAAAGAGTATGAGTCAGGGTACCAATATTACTATAACTCAGCTAAAACAGATCTGGTCTGGTGCTGTTGGTGGGAGGATTCCGATGCTTCACTAGTGATTCGGTCTGGTGCTGTTGGTAGGAGGATTCTGCTGCTTCACTACTGACGATGTATGTGTAGACCATGACAGTTGTGGAGGAACAGGGTTATTTGTGGAAAAACGCTCACTTGTAGCAGTTTGTGATATTTTGGAAATCCTCTACTAGTGAGAATTTCAAAGGACTCCTTTGGGTATTTAATGATATTCCTAATCTTGGACCTCTAGGTATTTTGTGATAACTCTAATCTTGAACCGCTGTGCATTTTCTGATAAACTTGACCTTTGACATCTTGGTATCTTGCAATAATTTGACCTTGGACCTGTGGACATTTTTTGATAACCTTGACCTTTGACATCTTGGTATCTTGCGATAATTTGACCTTGTACCTGTGGACATTTTTTGATAACCTTGACCTTGGACATCTTGGTATTTTGTAATAATTTGACCTTGGACCTGTGGACATTTTCTGGTAACATTGATCCTGGACTTCTATGAGTATTTCTAACTATCTTGACCATGATTGCAACAGAAAAGTGGGGAACAGGATTTTTGTTTCAGCATACAGTAATTTATTATTATGTAAATGCTAATTAACAGATGGTGAACATACAAATTGATGCAGAAATATGTTTT